ACCCCATCCAGAAGACAAGGCTACAGAGTTGAACATTGGTAGTCGTAAACCCATAAAATTGGGTCGACTGTTCAACGACGGTTATAAAATAAAATAGTTGATCCAAGAGTTTCCTTGTCTTCTGGATTGGGTTCAATATGACAAGGCTACGGAGTTGAACATTAATAGTCGTAAACCAAAAAAAATTGGGTCGACTGTTCAACAACAGTTATAAAATAAAGAAGTAGTGTTTACAAATTATCAAAGATTGTCGTCTCAATTTTATTACAAGCGTAATATTTTTCTAAGAATTGTAGGGAACACTGATACAATATTTAAATTGTTATCGATGTAGGAGCTGAAGATTATCACAATAGTTAAAGTGTTAGTGTAATAACAATTAAGGTAAACAAAATTTGTTAAATTTTGCTATCGCCTAACTTCACTACACTATAATCAGGTCTTGTGTAGTTGTTTAAGTTGTTTATGGAGAATGATCTGAAAAAATCGCCCCAGAAGTAAGATAAAACGACAAAAAAAAGTTTAAATAAACATGTTTTACAAAATTTGTCAAAATTACAGCATGCGTAAAGCAAGTTAGATTGTTAGTTTTGTTAATTGTTAAAATTCGAACAAATTATGTGCAGTGGGTTTCAATATATAACAGTATCTCATTTGGGATAATTTTTTCTGCTCACACTGTAAATCCAGTTGCCCAAATCAAATTTATAATATCAAAAACAGAGTAAGTAAAGCATAGCACTTGCTACCACTTCACAAAGTAAGTAAAGCATAGCACTTGCTACCACTTCACAAAGTAAGTAAAGAATAGCAATTGCTACCACTTCACTAAGTAAGTAAAGAATAACAATTGCTATCACTTCACAAAGTAAGTAAAGCATAACACTTGCTACCACTTCACAAAGTAAGTAAAGAATAGAAATTGCTACCACTCCAAATTCAACCCATATTCAAGACAAATCTCACGTTGAAATAAAACAAGTTGCCCATTTCGCATTAACCTTTTCGAAGGCCGTGGGAAGTATACTTACCACCAATTTTAATTTAAGTTTTCATTTGTTAATAACTTCATCTTTCTTGAAGTGCGTTTGATTAAATTGGTTATCATTTGTTAGTTTAAAAAACGTATAAAAGTTATAAAATACATAATTCCTTTTGAAGTTTGTAGTATTTATCGAATTTATTTTATAAATAAAGAAAAATAAAAGTCAATAAGTTCCTAATAAGTCGTATTAAATATATTTACCACAAAAAAAGGCATTTTTATAAACTAAATGAGTTTTTTTTCTTATATCAATTACTATTCTTGAAACAATTTCAATTCCAAAAATATTTTAATTTACCTTTACTAGAAATAAATGGTTCATTAAAGGGTTAAACAGGATTTAAAATAAATTAATATAAAGCTAGTTAGGGTTATTTTATTCAAGACTGCATTTTTAGAGTAAAGTTAGCTAGCTCCATTTTTATTTTACTTGTTTTCTTTATAGTAATAATTATTTTGAAAACGTGTCTACTTTAGTTCTCTGAAATGAAGCTAGCCTCAAATTTGTCAATGGAAAAAAATTTTTTAGATATGGTTAAAACTTGCGCCCGCTTAAGCCCCTCTCATCTACTTATAATATTACTGTTACATTTTAAAAACAAGAAAAAAACATAAATTGTTGCGAAATAATATTTATTTAATTTAATGAGATGACTGAAGTAATGAGTTAAAGACTTCAATTGTTTTCGGAACGTGTATTAGAGCTCCACAACAATAATATAATACACTCATGGATAAAAAAAATTAGCTCACCAAAAAGGAGTCGTCAAAATGAAACGAAGTTTTACATACGTAACGACTACTTTGATCTAAGTAAATTATTAGAAAATCAAAGAAAAACGATAATCTTTGATTTTCTAATCATTTACTTAAATCAAAGTAGTCATTACGTATGTAAAATTACGTTTCATTTTGACGACTTTGGTGCGCTAATTTTTTTGTCCATGAGTGTATATTGAAATAGAATGAAACTGCATTTGGATATTGATTATAATCAGTTTAAAAAAAAAATAGAAAATGAAAAAACTATCGATTTCAAAGTAAATAACAAACAAACAGATGAAGTCCCAAAATAGAATCTAAAGGTATTAATAAAATTAAGGGGAACATGATCGTTTACGAAATGTGGTGATACAAAATAGAAGTGGAACGCAGTAACCCAAATAGGTTCAATGGTCGAACTACGCGAGGTTAATATTTAACAAACTGGTATCACCAAATTTAAATAATAAGGTGGACACTATAAAATAATCAAAATTAAAGATTTATGTTAATAGGACTTATACTTGTCATATCCAAATACAATCATACCATTTAAGAAAGTTACTGGATGTTTCCAATTATGCACCCAAAACAAAAAAATGTGATCTACTTACCTCTACATTTGGGACAGCATTCTCCAAAAACAACGTACTTCTCTGTTTTGCATTCCATGTAAGGACAAGATTCTCTGTAACATTTGTAATTGTCTCCAGGGAGGCATTCACATGATGTACAGGGATCGGGATACCATTTTTCATCTAGCTGATGTAACATTCCATTGTAATGACAATAACCAGGAGCTGTTTCAAAAAACAAAAAAAAAGAAGAATAGCTTTTGACACATTAAAAATTCTCTATTTTTAATACACAATATTATATATTTTTCTCTGCGAACCCAGTTCATTTTACTTGATACCAACTTTGATGTGTTTGAAATATATCCTAGTATTTGACACCTTAAATGAATTCAGAAACTACACCGAAACAGCAGAATTTTTTTTTAATTAAGAGCCACCGAGAAAAAGTTGCATACTATTTGATTTCTGCATTGGAACTTGTTTCTCAAAATTTTAAGAACTTATAGTTACCTAAAGTATACGTCGCTAGTATAGAAAAAGTACATCGTGATACCTAATTATTATTTTAAAAAAATTGAAAAAGTGTGGAATGTCCCATAAAATGCCTTGGTACGAAAATATTACAAACGGATCATAAAAGTAAATTAAATTTAAAAATGTGCCAAAATTTAAAAATAATTTGCAGTTTTTTTGCGGATTTAATCGTGTGAGCTGACAATAAGGTTCTACCTTTTCGTTGGTTTGTCTTCTGACTTTTTTTGAATTTTTAAAATTTCATCTATTTATTCATATTAATTTTTCTCTTTCAAATAAAATTTTTCCTTTCCTTATTTTCTTTGTATTTTTATCTTATAGTATATATTCTTTATATTTGCAGGTTATGCGCGATTAATAAAACTTATTAAGTTATTAATCCTTAATAATTTAGTATTATTGTAACCTATGTAGATTTTATATATATATACATAAGATTTTACAGGATTTTTTTTTTAAATGTTTTTTCTTTCCCTGCATTTTTATCTCATAATATCGGTTCTTTATAATTGCAGCTTATGCGCAATTCATAAAACTTATTAAGCTTTCAATCCAATCCTTAATTTTTCTTTGCTTTTCGGGACAAGTGAGTTATAAATGCATTTGTACGGAATCCGAATCAAGATAGTAAAAAATTAAAAAAACGGTTGATTCAATTTGGGCATAGCTAATTTGACGGATTTATTTTTGCTTTTTCTTTAACACGTTCACGCCGGGGTGACCCACCGGTGGGTCACGCTAGATTGTCTCATCTTGGCAGCACACCGAAGTAAACTGGTAACAATAAATTTCATTTTTTAGTTTTTTTCCGAGAATAATAAAAATCCATAACTACCAATTGTTTTTAACGGATGCAATTTTTATATTGAATTGCTTCTTCGCCGTGATTAATTTCCTTACAGTGCATTGTTATTGTTGAGAATAGATTAACTCCTCCCGAATATTATGTAATATTGAAATAGTTCTTCTACCAGTATTTTCACTTTCCCCGGCGTGAACGTGTTAAATCTAACACATCCAAGTCAAGTGTGTTAAAAGTGTATCTATATAATTCTTAATTCAAACTAAGTAGTGGTGAATTAAGTAAATAACAATTATAACTCCGCCCACGAATAAACTGCTATAAAAAATAGTTTGGCTACCAGTTTTATCTTTTTTTATCCTGATTATCGACATCCTGAGAATGCATAAATGACTCGCCCGTCTCGTAGAGGTTAAAGAATAAATAAACAAAATTCTCACCAATACTATACACACTTGCATGCACTACTTCAGTGACGAAAATCACCATCCACAGAACAATTAGAAATGTTCTCATTTTATGGAAAGTTACAAAACACTACAACCTCTTCATAAGTAATATCCGTATACGTGATGTTTTCTTTCAACAAAAAATGATTTTCAGCTATGTTTGAACAATGTTTCAGAACGTTATACTCTTACCAGGCGAAAGTGAAACTATCAGATCTTATTTACAGACAACTGCACAACCTTTGAACGGACCTTGAAATACGAGACAGATTAACTTGACTTCTAGTCTGGTCAACGATTCNCTCAGAAAAGACTTAAACATTGATGATATCAATTGCTTTATAGCTAAATTGACCACAAAATTTTACAGCGACGCAAAAACATGCACCACATCAGATTTCAATAAATTGTTCGATATTGATATAATCCGTGATAATTCGAATTTCAGCCCAATTACCGCCTTTTTATGCTCAGACTGCATACTATCAAAATACTATTAACTTTATCATAAAACTCTACTCAAGGGGATCTCCCCATTCTAAAGATGATTTTCCCTTCAACTAAAGATTTACTTCTATAAGGACTTGATTTGTCGTTACAACATACTACAACTTCAAAGATATATAGGACCTCCCAGAATACAACAAAACAGAATCGATGAATCGGTTAGTGGCGCTTCGCGCCAAACGCCGAGATAACCCCAATATCCAGCATCCAGTATTTGAGATCTATCAAAGACTTTTTGAATGCCCTAACAGTAGAAAAAAACAATTAATTTCGAAAATATATTATATAACTTTTTCCATAAAACTACTTTTTGTATCATTTCAATATATAAATTCGGGACAAAACGGGTTAAAAGCACGACAAAAAGCTATTTTTTACATATGATGCTACTAATGTTCTATTATTAGTTTTTTTTATTAAATAAATTAAATTATTTTTTAAATTATTCTGGTTTGTACGAACACTGTAAACTCCATCGATATATTGATCGATATTTTTAAAAAGAAATATTGATCCTGACAGTCTTGTAAAATCATGCTTGAAGCTTTTAAAAAAGGTGAAAGTGAAGTTAGTAACTTCTTTTTAATTTTAATATCAGCAATTTTGAAAACATTCTATAGCAGAGATGCCACTTTGCTCCGCGGTGTAAAAAGAAATATTTTACAGTGGTAACAAAATTTAAGTTATTTTTCGTTCAGTATTTTTCATTTTAAGTAATTAAATATATCATATCAAATGCAACTATAATGAGTTCTTCTTTTGATTACCCTTATTAAAATACAGCGTAATCATCTTTGAATTAGAAGATTTGCTAAATAATTCACTTAAATTATTTAAAAATATTTTTTTTTAAAATCTCAAGCTCTTTTTATAAAATAAAAAGTTTTCATAAATGATGCAAGAACTATAAAATTTGACAAAGTATTTTTTTAAAGAATAAAGCGCTTGAAAAATTTATAATAGCAAACATAATAAATTAGTAATCACTATTTTTACGCTTTGACTGCTCTTATCCAAAACTAAGAAAAGATTAAACAAACTTGCATAAGAATGATAAAAAACGGTTTAAGTAATTTAAGATCAGCAGATATATACACCGAAGAGCCATTACATTATGACCACCCTCCATCTATAACAATGGGCTCCCCCAGGTTTTCAAGGTTTCTCGCCCAGGAACAATGTTTCCATGGGGCACATTAGGACTCGTAATCCTCATAGAACGATCCCTGACGTCTGCAGCTACTTGAACATAGTTTCAGACCATGTTCACCCATTCATGGCAACAGTTTTTCCTGCCGGGGATGGTGTTTACCATCAGGATAATGCACCATGTCATAAGGGTCGAATCTTCATGGATTGGTTCTAGGAAGATTCCAGTAACTTTCAAGTCATGTCTTGGCCCCCAAATTCACCNGAAGAGCCATTACATTATGACCACCCTCCATCTATAACAATGGGCTCGCCCAGGTTTTCAAGGTTTCTCGCCCAGGACAATGTTTCCATGGGGCACATTAGAACCCATAATCCTCATAGAACGATCCCTGACATCTGCAGCTACTTGAACATAGTTTCAGACCATGTTCACCCATTCATGGCAACCGTTTTTCCTGCCGGGGATGGTGTTTACCAACAGGATAATGCATCATGTCATAAGGGTCGAATTGTCATGGATTGGTTCGAAGAACATTCCAGTGACTTTCAAGTCATGTCTTGGCCCGCAAATTCACCTGACCTTAATCCAAGAGAGCATTTGTGGTCCTACTTGTAAAACCAAATTCGTGCTGCCACGCTACCCCCTCGCAATGTGAGGGAATTTCAGGATCCAGATACCTCAGACTACCTATCAGCACCTTGTGGAATCAATGCCACGGCGGGTGCTAGCAGTTTTGAGGGCTAAAGGTGGTCCTACATGTTATTAGCAGGGTGGTTATAATGTAATGGCTCTTCGGTGCATATTTTTAATGAACATGGACAATATTTTTTTTTAAAAATTTATGTTTCTAATAACGTTAACAATAGTTATAGAAAACTCTACATGCAATAACTCATTAAAAAGCTAATTTTTATCGATGTTTTATCACAGTCATCGATTAAATCTTCTCTAGGCTATAGCAATTGAATGGCAATTTTTTTAATAAAAAAAAAAGAGAATTAATTAAAAAAAAAATTTAAATAATTTAACTTTTAAAAACAGTGTTAAGTGATATTTTGTGTAATATTCTTACTGTGAAGATAAAATATAAATTTAACAAACTAGTTTATCATAAGTAATTTAGAATAAAAGAGCTCATTAAATTTTTCTAAAATTTTGAGAATTTTTTAAGGTCATTTTTTAAAAAAAATTCCTAAGTAATTTTTATAAAATGAAAAGTTTCAAAAAATGGCTGCTCTAAACACGGCAATCGTATTAATAATTACATGCGAAACCTAAATTTTATACAGTTAATCAACATTCTAATAAACAAAAACGGACACAAAAATACCATAAATTATGAGTCATGATTAAAAAAAAACTACTATACTAATTTGGACAAAACAATGCTATACTTTAATAAGAAACAGAAAACAGAACAAAACGGCGATTGTTTTTTAAAAAAATAAACCTAACATTTAATTCTTCTCTCTCTGATTATGAAAATATTAGTTCCAAATTCCTTTACTTTTAATAATTAAATTTGCTAGTATTTTATTTTATGTATTGAAATAAAAGAGAAATTTGAAAGATTTTTAAATTCAAATTAGTAAGTAGAGAAAATAAAAATAAGTCAACGAGCTTTGGCGGATAATATATTGAAGACGCACCAGCCAGTAGATTTATTTAATAATACAGAAGACAAAATGTCTGCATTACGATTTATTTCAAATCCTGAAATTAAATTTTCAAGTAAAGCTATTATCATAATCAGGCTATTACATCAAATACAGAATGCAAACTTGATTCTACTCTTATCAAATTTTATATATTGTAGAGATGTTTTTCAGTAACAAGTAGTACATAAATCTTTGAGCTTAGGTTTAAAAGTTGAGAATTTCCAATTATATTTTAACGTATGATACATTCGAATAAAAGGAATCTTCCTGTCAAGTTTCTAAAAATGCTCCTGTGCAGGGCCTGATTATCGCCTAGGCCCAATAGGCACGGGCCTAGGGCCCACACTTTCTGGGGGCCTCAAAAATTAGTAAAAAATCCACAATATTTCATTAAAAAAAATACTGAACGAAACAGTTTATCTAAAAAAAGGCATTTTTTATTTCAAATTTTCTTTATATTGTGATAAACCAAACTCGTGTAAACATTGCACTAATCAAATTCGAAAGTACAGCTGAATTTTAATTGGTGCAATCTTTACTCCAATGGCTTAAACAAATGCAACTGGAANCGCCTGAAAAAGGTATATGAAAATTAATCAAGAATGAAGTTTTAAAATCTTATTATAAATTCAACTTAATACTTGCATCTTTATCCATAGTTTCCTAATTTAAAGCTATTCAGGGCCCTCGCCAAATGCGATAAAATCGTAAATTTGGCGAATAAAATTGTATTTTGGAATATGATTTTTTCTACAGGAAAAGAAAATATATTACAAAAATTGTTAAGATTTGCATTTGGCGAAGACTTTCAAAAATTGGCTGATACTTTTGATATTTAGCTTTTTCCTTAATTAATAATTTGAAATCCTTAGCTCGGGCCCGGAGTATTTAGGCGCAACATTATTTATTATTCTTTCCTAGTATTTTTTTATTTTGTAATATTGTTTATTAATCCAATAAAGGCTTAAAACTAAAAGCGATATTCTTCTCTTTTAATGCACTCCGATGAAATTACATTTGTCATGCACTATTTTTATGATAAATATATTTAAAACGTTAAATTTGAGGTGTGTCCCGATGAAATAAAGTCACCTTGATGGTGTGCAGTAATTACACACGAAAAATTTTTTTTAAGAAAGCAACTATCCATCATGGCCTGTAATATTTCCCTGCTTATACATTGCTACAATGCTGCATTGCATTGAAATGAGGCAAATATTTATATTAGCTAATGCTATACAATGCTACAATACGGTAATATATACAATGCTGCATATTATTAATCATTCGCTGGAGAATAGCATCAATATTACCCCTGGTTTAATAGGTAACATCTTTCAATCAGGACTATCTATAAACCTGAAAATAAAAAACTGTTAGTAAAATCATGCAGTTTATATCTTGGTACCCAAGGTTCTTTATCTCTTCTGAAAAATGGTTATATATAAAAAGCGTATTACTATCAGTTTTATATTTCTTCTGGTAAACAAATAGCTGTGATTAAAGCTTTTACGAGACAGTTTCCATTTTTGGGCAAACAACAGCGAATAAGTTTTCATAATCAAAGACATTTCTTCCATCCATAAATATGCTAGAAATGTGATGATTTTATTACCAGCTACCTTCGGGGACTGCTCAGTCCAGTTTGGAATGAATTTTAATCAAACATTAAAAAAAATCACCTGCTTTCACATAGTCGAGTTTCTTGAAAGACTGGAGTATATGCCATCATATGGCATTTTTGACATTTTTTTAATGCGCAGTGACTGGGGTGAACATGTTTTAAAAATAAGCATGACTAAGGCAGTAAAAATTGTAAACTCAATTTGTTTTATAAACTCTTATTTAACTATGCTTATCCGGTCCATCTTACAGCTTGGCGCCGTTTATCAAAATTTGAAGAGGTGCTGAATTATTATTTTTAGGTATTTCTCATTGAATACTTGACTTTTGTATGCCAGGTAATACAATTTTTTA